GCCAATGTGAGTAGATCGAGTGTACATCCAGCAACGCAAGCATGCAAGGATGCTACAAAGGGCAGCGCCAACATACCAAAGCATATGCGGCCTCTGTTGTGCGTGCTACATGTGGGATTGTCCGCTTTGTTCGCTGGTGAGGCTATGGCGACACTCGACGACGTTATTCATTTCTTGGCAGAGGCAGCACCAGATGCGGCGCTTCGACTCATTACAACAGGACTAGCTGCAGGTAAGTTGAATAATGGTTTGGGTCAACACATAATAGTTGCAGAATTCATCCCAAAAATTTACGAGTACTGTCTGCACCTTCATACGTGAACCCAAATTACACCCAGATCCCGAGTCTGGGCGCACGCAAACGGGCGCCATGATAGTCAGGAGTATAATCGCATTTTCAACGGGCGCGTTCACGGAGACTATGAGAAGATTACTGATCTACTGGAACGACCAAATCGAGTGCTGCCTGGCGTCAAGTATTCCTTTCCAATTATGCGGCTCGATCATCGCGGGAGACCTAAACCAGTGGAGGGCCTATCTTGGGGAGGAGCAAGGCGTGGAAAGGCATTTTCTCTGCAGCGCCAAGGAGGTAATAAGCTGCATGCATTTGAAAGACTCACCAATACAAATATGTCCACGCACTATGCATTCTCGATATTTCCAATTCCACCCCATATGTTGTAGCTTATCCCATCGCGGTCGATGTGCTACAGGTGGTCTCGTGCTGAGGGCCGGCGTCGAGTCAGTAGACCATGATGCGGTGGATGTTGTTATGGATTCACCCAATCCAATGGCGTAGGATAGCACCGGCGATCGAGCTGCCGATCAAGTGTGCATACACTCTACCCCAGACAACACACCGCTGCCAGCACCAACACCGACAGCGACAATTAGCATGCCAGATGACCTGTAAGCATCTACCATGTTTGAAGATGTGGTTTATGCATGATACATTCCATGCAAATCATCCCAACAAATAATATGACATCCAACCTCTTATGCTTCTGTTGTATGATGATATGTATACCACCTCTTGTCGCGTCGCAGGCAACCGCGCTCGATCGCGCGTTCAACAGTCCCTAGGCACTGGCCTACCTCACTAAATGTCGATGAGATTTCTTAACAGCGGGTATGTCTCGTCGAACCGCATACCCTTGTTGGATTCTTCAAGGGATGTCGGTTTGTGTGCTCGTATCAACAGACATGCGGAGGAGCCATGTCTTTGAGGTCATGGAAATTCTCATGGGCATCAGAGGGCATGTTTTGGAGATGTGATGCGTGCTGCCACTGTGTGGAATTCTGGTTATGCACCAATCGAACCGTTGAGAAAAGAAGAGCTGGTGTCGGGGCACGCGTGCCTATACTCCATTCCAAATTCGTAGGATCATTTGTGCTAGCCGGGATGGGGTATCAACAGATGTGGGAGTTCAGCCGCAACTTTGGTATCCCATGTCCTGGAAAAGGCACTTTTTACACGTATCTGGGGGATGATAATGGGTTGTGGAACACGATTCTTAGGGAGGCAGAGAAATCAATGGCAGCGGTGCGAGAAGAGATGAGCAAATGAGACATTCATGGGGAATGGGTAACGGTAGATGGTCGGTGGTCACATGTTCGAGAGGGCGAGTGGTGTACTGTGTCATTCATGGATGCTGTTACGCGGAAGATATTGTACTGTGTACAACAAGAAAAGGGGTTGATAATACGTCATCTGTGCGATTGGAGCGGGTTGCGTTCGACAAAGGAGTTGATGAGCTGGCGCTGTTGAGATTTGATGTGGAAGGAATCATTTCAGACTAAGGGACGACATTCAGAGGTGCTGCCACATAGCGGAAACTGAACCATTAGGTGGATTGGTGGGACATGAAAAAAACACTGTACAAGCTTTTCTGCAAAGAGCTTCAGGATGCAGTGCGGTTGCCGGTAGTCGTGGACAAGGCAAGTTGTATTGAGGAGCTGTGGTTGGCTACGGTGGAAGGGCTGCGGCAACGATTGCGAAAACGGGGTTTGGAGAAAGAGGCGAAGGCATCACTCAAATCGGCTCTTGTGCAATCAGTCTGTACAGCCATGGGCACCATTGCCTACGTCCAGATGACATCTGATGAAGCAAAGTGGAAGTTTCCAGAGCTGAGAAGGGTGCGACGAGTAGGGGGGGAACAGGGGGTTGTAGATGTCCCTGTGGCTTATGTGGAGGTGCGAACTGGCCCAACAGGAGATAGGCGGACCACTGCAATCGATGAAGTGGTTGACGAGGAGAAATTGGGCAATGCACAAGTTGACGTGCAGTGGCCAGATGTGGAGCTTTGGAGTTATGATTTGCATCCAGTGCACGGCGCGCGACCATGGTCTGTGGCAAGTGCATTCATCATGCATGCACATGAAAGTGTAGGCGATGTTTCACGGTCAATCGTTGGGACGACTGCGTGGGCCAGTGCTGACGAATTGACTGGTAAAAATGCTCACATAAGAGAAATTTTAACTGCTCATGTGGATTGGTTACTTAGTCATGTTTCCCTCCAATATTGTCGTTCACCAGGAGATGATGGCATGGGTGGTGCGGACCCAACAGATACTAACCCTGCAAGTGACAACGAGGGTGCAGTTCACGATGGTGATGCAGCAGGAAGCAGAATTGGACAGACTTTGCCTCGGTGGGTTGGGCGCAGGAAACGAAAACGGGGTGGAGATGAGGTATACGCTGGCGATGAAGAGAGTACAGTGGCGCAGCACTTCAGCTCGCATTTTTTCCATGTGACGGATGAAGGAAGCGGGCACCCCTATGACCCCTGATGATGTGGCAAGGGAGATTGGGACGGCGCCAAACCATTGGGCGGGTGACCATTCCGGGTGTGGAAAGCCTGGTGGTGTCCTGCGATGTTGACCAACAGCTCTGTCAATGAGTCATGTTATTCTCTGATCCTCAGTTACGTCCCTAAGCGTATTCGGTTCCAGGATAGTCTTGTGCCACGGGTGGCTCTCGCTGTCTTGCACTGGAAGAACTCGATGGATAGATTGGTCACTTCGTATCAAACACGAGTACGGCAAGTGACGTGGGTGCGTCGGGGCAACAAGGATCGAACACTAGGACCGATGGATTGGTCGTGGGTTGATTGGATCATGTCGGAGTAGCAACGATCGTTAGGGGATAGTGTTGATGACGATATTAATGAAGATGCAATAACAAGCCAAGGAGCGGAAAGCAGTCCGCTAACATATCTGATGGAGGGGGCCACCCATCTGTACAGCAGCTCGCTACACCTGTGCGACGTAGCCAGAGGGGTCGCGGCCGGTTATCGACGCATGGGGCTGCGCGCAGACTTCTAAGTGAGAGTAGTTGCACATTTGCAATTTATCACACCCTATCTTATCAACTTGACCGACACTTTTTGTTTGTGCTAATGCTACAGGTGACGTCACCAACTATCCTCGGTAAACATCCACAACACACCTATGGGGTTCAGAAAGGTCCAACAATATCATTTTGGCCGCCACGCCGCATCGTTTCCGGTATCAACGACGCCCACGTGCTCGCCCATGGCAATAATGAACCCTACTATTGTTATTATTTATCCTCAAACACCAACACTAGTGGGCCTTCAAATCTATCCCCCCCTCTCCTCTCCACTCCTCCTTGTCTCCCTCAAGCCCTTCCTCTTGACCAAATACCTTGTGATGTTTCGCCTCCCCATCCCCTATGCCTGCGATACATCCCATGTCAGCGCCTATAATTGTTCTCGCAAGTGCAGAAAGTGCCGCTGCTGCAGTACTCCCAGAGGGACATGGAGGTGGCAGGGCGGCCTTCCCTGGTGGAAGCCTCGGCCCCCCGGGACGTTTGCTGCCTAGTGGCAAATGAAACCTGGTGCAGTGCAGTTGACCTTTGGTGCATTTGGCATCTGCACTAGTGCATGATATCCCATGCCATCTCCCATACCCTTATTAGAAGCCATCCCAAAGACAATCACCTTGCCTCTTTCCCACCTCCCCTCTCTCTTCTTTTCCCCCCTTCCCCAACACTCCCCACTCCCCCACGTTCTAACAGCAATTGCACGCAATAAGCAATGAGAGCCAGCTTGTCAACCTGCTGCCCCTCCTCCCTGTTCTGAGCTCCCTTTACCATCTTCTTCTCCTCTGCCCCCCACCCCATTCCCCCCACGACCCCCCCATCCCCCCCTTCTCCCCTTTGCAAATCAGCCATTGCAAAGGATCAGTAATGAGAGCCCCTCGAAATTTCCACTCTACCCCTCCTTTCATTTGCCCGACGCCGCCACTCCCCGCCACTCCTCTCTGCTGGGCTTACATGGACATATTCAACTCGACCGTCTTGAGTGTTGCCCCGTATCTTGGGAAAATTGAATTTAGTTTATAGGCAACAGCAAGTTGTTTCTCTAAGAGCGTGCCATGCCATTCAAGGCGGCTGACTACGATGTGCCCGGTTCTATAACTGCAAGTGTGCTTCACGGATTCGAAGTGCTGCGTACCAACCTGAACATTCTTTAGCGAGCTGCGTTTTCACCATGTATGACACGCATACGGTACTAGTATGCATGACATTGGCCATATTGTGTAGGTTTGGTAGGGAATATCAGAGCTAGGCACAATCTCCATACTTCAAGTCTTGTTACGCTTGGAGCTCGGGTCAAGATTGAGATGGGGCACATACAGTACAGCCCTTGTACACAGTATGGTCAACAGGTAAACCCAATTCAGCCTATAAACCATTGGCACCAAACAAAGCACGACCCACAAGTCGATCCCTGCTACCAATCTCTATATCATGCCGCGGCCTCTTCACTCTGTGCTTGCCTTCTTGTGCCTTCCTCCCACGCCACTCCGCACTGATCACACCACACAACTCTACTTAATTCAAATGTCTTTGCCCCATGATCCAGAATCAACACAGTTGCCTGCACAGTGTTGCCTGTCACGCGTTGCAGCTGCCAATCCCTCCTTACACGCAGGGAGGGCGGCAACATCAAATGCAGGCCTTATCGGGCGCAGGTCTAGGGCAGCAGGGGAGGTTGAAGGCAGTCTCGAGAGAAGGCTGCCTCGCAGCTCTGCCAGCTGCGCGCCTTATCTCGCATAACCCGCCGAAGTGTGCCATGGGCTGCTGATGCTCCGTGACCGACGTGGCGGTGCACCGAGGGGTGCGCCGAGGGGTTCACCTCGGGACGGGTCCAGTCGTAGATCTGCTTCCCAGCATCTGGGGGACTGGGGAGTGGGGCGTGGGAGAACAAGGGAGTGAGTGGGAGAGCAAGGGAATGAGCATGGCAGGAAGGACTGTGCAGAGGCGTGGGATGGGTGGCAAGCAGGTTGTTTTGAAGGATTGGGACAGCACATGGAGAGAGTGCCTGGGCCCGGAAACGACACTCCAGCCGAGTGCCATCCGGGCAACGAATGGCAATGCGACGGCAGGCTGGAATGCGCACTACACGCTCCTCTGGTAACTCAACCTCCTCGTCCGCTGCCCCTCCTGCCCACGCCCCTTGTTGCTCCTGACCCTCTGCCGCACGAGAGGCGTCGTCCCTGCTGCCCTGCATGGGCCCATGTCCCCACCTTGCTCCCCACCTTGCCCACCTTCCCGCCTCGGCCCCCTCTTCCTCTGTATGCCCCTCCATGGAAGCCGCCAGCGCTAGGCGTGGCTGCTCCTCCTCGTCCTCCTCGCAGCTCCCCACTGCCCCCACCCCCGCTCCCACTTTTTCTCTGTGGGCACGTCATGGAGCTTCTTGGGCGGCCACACCTCCCCACCAGCACCGGGTGCGCCTCCCACAGGGTCACGGTCGATGAATGGCATCAGGTCTTGGGTGGACGTGCACACGCACACGCACACAAATACTACCAACGCATACACGCACACAAACATGCACACACGCAGGCATGCACGTAGGCAGAAAGACACGCACACTGATCAAACGCCGGCAGGCATGTAGTCAGGCAAAGTGGTGACCAGGGTTCCACAAGACATGTGAGGAGGAATCTGAGGGAGAATATGAAGAGCAGACAAGTGGTGCGTGTGAGTGCTGTGGAAGGGGACACGGGGAAGCAGGGAAGGGGACACGGGGAAGCAGGGAAAGGGACATGGGAAAGCAGGGAAGGGGACACGGGGAAGCAGGGAAGGGGACACCGGAAAGCAGGTAAAGGGATGGGGGGAAGAAGGGAAGGGGATGAGGGGAAGCAGGGAAGGGGATGGGGGCAAGCAGGGGGGATAGGGGGAAGCAGGGAAGGGGATGGGGGGAAGCAGGGAAGGGGATTGGGGGAAGCAAGGAAAGGTATGGGGGGACGCAGGGAAGGGGATGGGGGGAAGCAGGGAAAGGGACATGGGGAAGCAGGGAAGGGAATCGGGGGAAGCAAGGAAAGGGATGGGGGGAAGCAGGGAAGGGGATGGGGGGAAGGAGGGAAAGGGATGGGGGGGAGAAGGGAAGGGGATGGGGGGAAGCAGGGAAAGGGATGGGGGGAAGAAGGGAAGGGGATGGGGGGAAGCAGGGAAAGGGACATGGGTAAGCAGGGAAGGGGATGGGGGGAAGCAGGGAAAGGGACATGGTGAAGCAGGGAAGGGGATGGGGGAAGGCAGGGAAGGGGATGGGGGGAAGCTGGGAAAGGGAAATGGGGAAGCAGGGAAGGGGGTGGGGGGAAGCAGGGAAAGGGACACGGGGAAGCAGGGAAGGGGACACAGGGAAGCAGGTAAAGGGATGGGGGGAAGAAGGGAAGGGGGTGGGGGGAAGCAGGGAAAGGGACATGGAAAAGCAGGGAAGGGGATGGGGGGAAGCAGGTAAAGGGATGGGGGGAAGAAGGGAAGGGGATGGGAGGAAGCAGGGAAGGAGATGGGGGGAAGCAAGGAAAGGGACATGGGAAAGCAGGGAAGGGGATGGGGGGAAGCAGGGAAAGGGACATGGGAAAGAAGGGAATGGGATGGGGGGAAGCAGGGAAGGGGACACGGGGAAGCAGGGAAGGTGACACGGGGAAGCAGGGAAGGGGACACGGGGAAGCAGGTAAAAGGATGGGGGAAAGAAGGGAACGGGATGGGGGGAAGCAGAGAAAGGGACATGGGAAAGCAGGGAAGGGGATGGGGGAAAGCAGGGAAAGGGATGGGGGGAAGCAGGGAAGGGGATGGGGGGAAGCAGGGAAAGGGATGTTGGGACGTAGGGAAGGGGATGGGGGGAAGCAGGGAAGGGGACATGGGGAAGCAGGGAAGGGAATGGGGGGAAGCAGGGAAGGGGATGGGGGGAAGAAGGGAAGGGGATGGGGGGAAGCAGGGAAGGGGATGGGGGGAAGCAGGTAATGGGATGGGGGGAAGAAGGGAAGGGATGGGAGGAAGCAGGGAAGGAGATGGGGGGAAGCAAGTAAAGATATGGGGGGAAGAAGGGAAGGGGATGGGGGGAAGAAGGGAATTGGACATGGGGAAGCATGGAAGGGGACGGGGGGAAGCAGGGAAGGGGATGGGGGGAAGCAGGGAAGGGGATGGGGGGAAGCAAGGAAGGGGATGGGGGGAAGCAGGGAAGGGGATGGGGGGAAGCAGGGAAGGGGACATGGGGAAGCAGGGAAGGGGATGGGGGGAAGCAGGGAAGGGGATGGGGGGAAGAAGGGAAGGGGATGGGGGGAAGCAGGGAAGGGGATGGGGGGAAGCAGGTAATGGGATGGGGGGAAGAAGGGAAGGGATGGGAGGAAGCAGGGAAGGAGATGGGGGGAAGCAAGTAAAGATATGGGGGGAAGAAGGGAAGGGGATGGGGGGAAGCAGGGAAAGGAACATGGGGAAGCAGGGAAGGGGATTGGGGGGAAAAGGGAAGGGGATGGGGGGAAGAAGGGAATTGGACATGGGGAAGCATGGAAGGGGACGGGGGGAAGCAGGGAAGGGGATGGGGGGAAGAAGGGAATTGGACATGGGGAAGCATGGAAGGGGACGGGGGGAAGCAGGGAAGGGGATGGGGGGAAGCAGGGAAGGGGATGGGGGGAAGCAAGGAAGGGGATGGGGGGAAGCAGGTAAAGGGATGGGGGGAAGAAGGGAAGGGATGGGAGGAGGTAGGGAAGGAGATAGGAGGAAGCAGGTAAAGGGATGGGGGAAGAAGGGAAGGGGATGGGGGGAAGCAGGGAAGGGGATGTGGGGAAGCAGGGAAGGGGATGGGGGGAAGCAGCGCGGGAAACCCAGGGGAAACAGGGAAGAGGATGGGGGGAAGCAGGACGAGGGGAGTGGGGGAGATGCCGGGGAGAGAGCTATCCGAAGAACGGTGGGGAGCCCGGAAATGATGTGGGGAATGAGAGAGGTAAGCAGTGTGGTGGTGAATGGTGATCATTGGGGGAAGGAACGGGTGTGTGCGGGTTGGAAAGGGGGCGTGACTGATCCAAACGAGTTGGGAAGGGAGAAGGGAGGGATGGCGACAGTGACGGGCGATGAGGGGAGAGAGATACGGGGATTGCGAGGGGAAGAGCGGGAGGGCGATGAGCAGCAGGGAGCGCGGCGTGACAAAGGGGGGCAACGGGCGGAAGGGAGCGCGACGAGGGGAAGGTAGGGCGACGGGTGGTCGGGAGGGCAATGGGAGAAAGGGAGGGTGACGAGACGAAGGGAGGGTGACGGGCAGAAGAGAGGGCGACGGGCGGAAGGGAGGGCGAAGGGCGGAAGGCATGGCGACTGGCGACGGGCGGAAGGGAGGGCGATGGCGGAAGGGAGTGCGACGGGCGCTAGGGAGGGCGACGGGCATAAGGTAGGACGACGGTGGGAGGGAGGGCGATGGGCGTAAGGGAGTGCGACGGGCGGAAGGGAGTGCCGGCGCGCGGAAGGGAGTGCGACGGGCGAAAGCGGGTGCGTCGAACGTACATGTGAGGGAAGCGCCCGATCCTTGCGCTTCGAACGTACATGTGAGCGCCATCGTCCCTACATAAATGGGCGTGGCGCATGACGTTTTTCTTTATGCTGGCTTTTTTTTTTTTTTTTTTGGAGAACAACAAACAGGCTGCTGCAAGAATACAGACAGCTCGCTGCCACGCACGCAAATGAGATCTCACGCGCTCTTGTGCTGAACATCGGAGTAGACTACGTGTATTGCCTGAATATGGCTGCCCATTAGTACAACTTGGTTATCAAGTTTACTGAATCTGAGCAGTGCTCCATCTCCCGTTGACACTTCACCCGGAAGACTTGTTTTGTCGCTGGCCAATCATGCATCTTAGTTGTGAAACCTCTCCTCTGTGAAGCGACGGAATGCTTTACTTCGGGTGGTAACCTGGTTTTTGGCGAGTTCATATTCAAGAATCTTGAATTTGTAAACAGCCATGTGGAACTCGGGCTTTAAAGAGAAGGTTAGGGCAGGGGAGAAGGAGAGAACGAGATGAGAAACCCATTGGGTATGTAGAAAGGGAGAGAGAGGGAGAGAGAGGGAAAGAGAGGGAGGCAATGACAGTTGAGATGTTGAGGGGTATGTGTGTGAGGAGCATGTGTGGCGTGTGCACCATGCTTTGTCTCACTCCCAGCATACATGGAGCAGGGGGAGGCGGAGCAGCTGCCAGCGGAGGCGGAACGGCAGGAACAGGAAGCGCAACATGAGGAGAAGGCGCGGGGGTTGGAGCGACACGCGGCAAGTTGCCCAGGCTCGCCTGCCCGTTCCGCTCCTCACGCACCGCAGCAGAAACGGTGCGCTGCAGTTCCGCCATCGTCACGGGCTGTTCATATGCCCAGCCGCCACCACGACCGCGCCCTCCCCGCCACCCACCACGACCGCCGCGAGCCGCGAGCCAGTTCGCTTGAGAACCACGGCGCCGAGGGGAATCGTGGCGCCGCCGCGACGCCGCGCGCTCGTCACGAGGCGCAAGGGAATGGGGCCGAGACTGTCGGCGGCCTGGAGACGGCGGACGTTGAGCAGGGGAGGCGGCGACAGGCGGAGCAGGATCGGGAGCTACTTGGACAGCCGTCTGTATGGCCACCGCCTGCGTCATAACAGGGGACTGGCCGCCAGTGGTGGCGGACTCTGTTGGTGTAAGGGCCTAATAAACTCAAGCTATTAAGACTTTATCAAACTTAAAACCTCTCCTCGGGGTCACCTCCAAGGGTCCTTGGGTGCCTGGTACAAGACCAGCCCCTATCCTCGGGTCCGAGTTTGTAGAGAGAGGGATCAAGAGGGACTTAGTCAAAACAGCAAGAGTACCTTGAACGTCGCGCAGCGTATCGTGCAGACCGTCGATCGGATTAAGCTGAGAATTTCCTATATCGAAGCTCGCTCCAAGAGCTTTAAAATGAACCAAGTTGCCTCACGAAAAGTTCTGCCATTACGAAGTTATGGCTCGGACAACGTTTGCCTAGCATTGGAGTGCTAGCGTACTAGCGTTGACTCGGGTAGCATTCCGCCGTCGCACCGCGTAGAAACGAAATTCCAGCAAGGAAGGAATTCGCTTGAATCAATTTCACTATATTCGGGTACAAACAGAGAAGGAATAAATAGCTCTAGCTAGCAAGGACCTTGGGAATCAACCTGCGAACAACCAGGGATGATCCCAAATAATTCCAAGCAGCAGAACCAACCTGGCTGGACAAAACAGCAGGTGGTAGGTTGGTAAACAACCTCTGGTTCTGTTTTTCCAACCTGGGAAAACAACAACCAGGTTCAGGTCCTAAAAACAGAACCTGTTTTGTCTTTGCCCAACCAGCCAAATGCTGGTTCCGCTGGTTTCCCCTGGCCCTGTAGCATGCAGATACAGACAAACAACATCCAACCTTCACCTAAATTGTACCCCTATAGTGCCTGCCCTGCTACACTATAGTCAATCAAACAAAACAGTACAATTTCGAGTTGGATAGAACTGAATCTGCGCAATCAATTCTATCGAACCGCAAAGCTTCCATCTTGGGTTCCTTTGCGAGCTCGTCCTTTCTGCTTGTACTGTTCATAGCGCGTACAATGTTGTGCCGAAGCGCACAATGCGCGAGTACCTGCAAATGCTTCAAGCGAAAATTGCGAAAGCAAACAAACACACGAACATTCCATTCACACCCAAATGCATTCGCACACGCATACTCGTACAAACAGACGGCATGATGTCGTGCAATGTGAATTTGCACCCAACAGACTCCGCCGTCGGCGACGAAGCAACAGCCGCGGCAGGTGCAATAGGGTCAACGACGGCGGGCATTGAGACAGGGACCCCCGGGACAGGTGGAGCAGCAGTAGGATCGGCAACAGCAGGCGGTGCGACAGTGCTCGCAGGGGCAGCCGACGGAACAGCAGGAGCAGGAGCCTCGACGGGAAGCGGAGGGCCCGACTCGACAACAGGGGCAGACGGACCGGGCAGAGGCGACGGTGGAGCTGGGCTCGTCACGAGGCGTGGGTTCGGAGGCGGAGAGACCCCAGCGGTAGAGGGAGATGGCTTCGGGGCAGGTGGGACTGGTGGCTTCAGCGCAGCAACACGCGAGGCAGACGCAGGCGGGGACCTTCCGCTCACCGCTGACACAGCGGCAGCGCGCGATGGCGATGGCCACGGCTCGCCAGCAATCACCATCGCGAGGCAGGAGGCGACAAGGAGCAGGCCGACGGGGGCGAAACGGAGTCGAGGGCGGCCCGGAGAACGTGTTCCAAGCAGCTGGGCGACGGGCTTTAACCTCACTAAATGAGAATGACGAGCGCGACGACCCGACTTATATAGGAGATGCACAGGCATCAAGCAGTAGTAGCGAGGGTGAAGGGGAAGAGGAGGTGAGAGAGCAGATGGGGAGACAGGGTGGAGTGACTCAGAGAGAAACGGATGGGCAATCGGGAAGGAGAGAGCCACAGGATGGGGATCGGACGGTCACCACCCCAACCCTGACGCCCACCCGCACCCCGAGCCGCGGACGAGGAAATCGAACCGCGAGGAGTCAAGCACATGCGGCCCGACAGTCTCAAAACCCGCGCTATTATTCGCCACAAGAGCTGGCTGTGAAGGCCGAATTATTCGCCGAGGTGGCGAACTGGGACATCGCACCGCTCTGCGACAGCCGCCAACCGACACTGTTACGACGGCTACCGCCAAATTTGAGCGAGATTTTCTCGCTGGCAGTACTGGCACCCCTTCTGCACCTCTCGCGAAGCCCGGACTCGGTCGCAGGTTGGCGGTTACTGCTTTTTCTCCCACGCCTGACACTGCGACAGGGTTCGTCGAGGCGACTGGATTGGCCAAAAATCAAGGCCCGTCTCCGCGCTTTTCAACGCGGCGAATGGCAGCAACTGTACCTGGAAGCGGTGGAAGCAGTCAACACCCTGCCCCCGCCACATCACCAGCCTGACACCCTCGGCATCATCAGCAGGGCAGAAGGCTGGCGAAGAAGGGAAGCCTTCGCAGCGCCGTGTTGGCGCTCGAGTCAAACCAAGTCTGCACGGCGAGCTCCGAGATTCTGGAGGAACTCCGAACCAAACACCCGCCTGCCGGACCGGACCCACTGACCTGGCCAGTCATTGCCGAACCAGCTTTTCTCGAAATTTCGTACGCGGATTTTACGAAACTTCTTAGCCGATGCGAGAACGGCGTGGGGTCCGGACCGAGTGGAATGGTGTTTGAACACATACGCGATGCGTCAGTGACAAATGCATCCGTCACCACCCATCTGCACGCCTTAGTGAACACGATTTTACGGGGAAATCTGCCACCGCCCGTGGTGCAACTGCTCACGTCCTCGAGGCTGATTGCCCTGGCAAAGCCAGACGGAGGGGCCCGGCCGATTGCGATTGGTGAATGTCTGATGCGATTGGCAGCAAAGGCGGCCTTGTCAGCACTGGGTGAAGCAGCGCGGACCTTTTTTCTACCGCTTCAGTACAGGGTAGTTGTGCCAGGGGGGGGCGGAGGCAATCATTCACAGCTCACGCGCATACATCGACGCACATCCCAACTGCCTAATCCTGCAGACCGACATCTCCAACGCCGTCAACAGCATAAACCGACAAGCCATTATTACAGCGCTACAGTACCCATCCCTCACCCCCCTACTCCCACTGTTCAAACTCACCTACGGCAATCCGTCATAACTATTCTTAGACGCCGGCTTCAACAGCCAGCCGCTGACAAGTGAACGTGGGGTGCGACAAGGGGACCCCTTAGGTCCGCTTTTGTTCGCGGCTGGGATCCATCTAGCCCTGAAAGCGACAGCAACAGCATAACCAAGCGTATTGTGCTTAGCATACGCCGACGACGTGAGCTTCTTGGGAGACCCGCACGATACTGTAGGAGCATTTACCCACTTCACCAACCAACTGGAGGAAATAGGACTGCGTCACAACCCTGCCAATTGCGCCGCGTGGAGCAACCAGCCGGTAGAAACAGCGGTACAACTGCCGCCCGGGGTACCGTTTAGTGTGGATGGCGTGAGACTCTTGGGTAGTTTCCTAGGAACATCGTCCGCTGCCGCCGCCTTTCTCTCCGCGCAGCTAGATTCCATGTCCAAACCGCTACCATTCCTCGAACGGATGGACCCACAGGTGACAGCTCTCCTGTTAGCACGGTGCATTTCACGCAGAGTAGCATATCTCACACGAACCACCCCACTGCAACTCCTAGACCGTGACATGTGGTCACAATGGGGTCAGGACCTGCTGGTCACCCTTCTCACAGCGTGCGGCATACGTTTTCCAACGGATAGCGCAGAACAGAGCCGTGTCTGGGAGCAATCATCACTACCTCCGTCCCTAGGCGGCATTGGACTAGCAGACCCAACGGTAGAAGGCACCTGCGGCTTCCTAGCCAGTTTTACGCAGGCCGCCCTTCTCCTGAGCCAACTGCCACTGGAGCCGGGTGGGGCCTTGAGAGCCGCACGAGACCATATGCTGCTACCCAGCGATTCCAGCACGCCCCTACACCAGTGGCTGACACTCTGCAAAACAGAGCTGCCGGAGGAGGTAAGGGAGATCCTAGACAAAGAGAGACTAGAGCCAGCTGGTCTGAGGCTACAGCATGAGCTAGGGGTGAGGGTGCAGGGGAGAAGGTATGCCATGCAAGTGCAAGCAACACGGCGTATGGATCTGAACCCCCTGTCAGGCCACACACAGCGATTCCTCTGTCTGACTGGCTACGGCACTGGGGACTGGTTGACTGCCATCCCAATAGAAGCCACCCGCCGTATAGGACCAGAGCACTTCTCCAACAGCGTCCGCTTCAGGCTCGGGCTGCCCTTCTCCACACCTCGGAAGTGTAACTGCTCGAAACATGTGGAGATCAAGGACCCGCGGCTGCCAAACCATCTCTTCCGCTGTGGCACCGGCAAGCATAGGATCAATACCCACAACGAGCTGCGGGACGCATGCATTAAGATGGCTGAGGACGCCGGCTTCATAGTCTACAGAGAGTCGGCAGCTTATTGCCCCATAGAGGAGCAGACCGCGGATTTCACTATGCAGGAGATGAGCTCGGGAGCGGTCTATGTGTGTGATGTCACCATCACGGACCCCATTAGCACCAGGGATCCAGACGCTACCAAGGGGAGGGGATGGGCAGCAAGGGAGCAGGCCGACAAGAAGATTAGCCACTATGCCAACCTGCCTGACACCGTCAACTTCTTCCCCCTAGCGGTTGAGACATATGGCTGCCCTTGTGCCGAAGTCCCGAAGTTTCTGAAGTTACTGGCGGACACAGCTGTTAGGCGTCATTTCAACGTCTTACCAACCTCCTACCATGCAGCTAGATTCCTCCACCTCTTCAGGCAGCGCAGGTCGGTGGCGCTACAACGGGCACAGTCCGTCGGATACATCATTAAGACCTGCCAGGCGGCCGTAGCAGAGAACCCCCCGGTGGGAGGGGTCCGGTCCGAGCTTCACCTTGGGGATTGTTGTGTTGTGTTGGAACCTCTCATGGAGGTGTAGATAGGCACAATGGGTGTGGCTAGATTGTAGTAAGTCCCTTGTCCTAGGCTCTATATTTGCATGTGTGTACCTCTTTGACATATCAATGCACGGACCATTAGAGAGAGAGGGAGAGAGGGAGAGAGAGAGGGAGAGAGGGAGAGAGAGGGAAAGAGAGGGAGGCAATGACAGTTGAGCAGTTGAGGGGTATGTGTGTGAGGAGCATGTGTGGCGTGTGCACCATGCTTTGTCTCACTCACAGCATACGGTCCCACACCTGAATCTCCCCATCCCGTGAAAAAATCACAATCCCTTCCGCTCTCCCCCTATCACTCCCTCACTTACAGAGCACCAGGGCGCAGCAGCAGCCTGCCGCGGTCTCCGCACCTCCCCCACACCACTCCCCCCTCGTCCCCCTCCCCCTCCCCCCCTCCGCCCACCGCCCGCCATCTCCTGATCCAGCGCTCCCTCAGCAGCGCGCTCAGCCTGCTGCTGCTGCTGCTGCTGCTGCTTCCGCGCAGGGGGACTCTCACGCGTGCGCAGAGACGCGCCCCCCGTGGAGCTGGCGACGTGGTTGTGGCTGTCGTGGTCGAGGGGGTCGAGGTCGTGGTCGTTATCCCCTGCGCCATCGCCCCCCACCTCCCCCGCGCGCGCGTACTGCACTGTGCCTTGCGCGCCCAGCCCCAGCAGAGCGAATGCCTTCATGGCTGCGTGCAGGGAGGCGGGAGGGGAGGGGGGGAAGGTGGGGGGAAGGGGGGAGAGGGGAAAAGAAGAGAGGTGGGGAAGAGCGACCCCCCCTCCCCCCGCGCGCGTGTACTGCACCGTGTCCTGCGCGCCTAGCCCCAGCAGCTCGAATGCCTTCATGGCTGCGTGCAGAGGAGGGGGGGGGGGAAGGTGGGGGGAAAGGAAGGGGGTTGGGGAAGAGCGAACCTCCCCCACTCGCGCGTCTGCACACTGTCCTGCGCGCCCAGCCCCAGCAGCTCGAATGCCTTCATGGTGGGATGCTGCGCGCATGGATTTGGGGGAAAGGGAGGGGACCGCGGTGGGGGAGGGGGAGGGCGGAAAAGATAAGGGGGCCGGGGCTGAGGGGAGCGGAGAGGGGAGGGCGGGGAACGACTCAAGGCGGCCGCAGGGAACGCGCGCAAGCCGTGCGCGAGCACGCGGGTCGAACGAACTGATAGCTGCGAGAGACGAGGTAGGGGAGAGGAGCGCAAGAGACTGCACGTGGTGAAACAGGGAAGAATGACGGAGGCGGAACGGATTTTTAGGTGCCTTAGAAACCGAAACGGCAGGTGATGTGGCAAGGACAAAATGAGACAAGTTGGTTCTTCTAGACTTTCCAAATAGCGAGGATAAACGAACATCAAGGACATAATGACGGAGGCAGAACGTCGGGGTGATGGTGGGACGATGCTTGCGACATGGTTACCCGCGGTTACTGCTCACACGGCGGGTTACCAACAGCGTATCAAACCCCAGAAGCAACAATGCGGTGGAACGCGGGCGAGAATCAATCGCAACATGCGGCGATTGATTGAATTCAAGTTAGCCAAAACACGCACCTTGACACCTGCGCTTCCAAGTTGGCACCTGCGATTCCAAGTTGACACCTGCGCTTCCAAATGGGCACCTGCGCTCGACTTACTTGTTGGGGTACCTTCCGAAAGGGGTCCCCGCTTCTTAAAATAGGTTTCGACGGCCTCCTTATGAAATGGTTGACGGTTTGCAAAGTACGTGAAAATAGAGAAGGCCAATAGGAATGGCATCGTAACGGTATTCGAAGCAATTTGGACGGCGCGTAGTGAAGGAAAAAATAATGGGAATGGTGGCTAGAAGGCGCAAACCTACTTGACGGAACTCTTATCCACATACGGCGCGATGTGACTGGAGAAAAACGCCTTCTATTCTACACGCATTCCACTGTCCGATGTTATGGCAATGCAGGTCGTCCATTTGTATATAAGCAGCTCATGCGCATGCCTCCTAGCGCAGGTCGCGCAGAGAAAATGCTACGGCAAATTTCACGGATGGTCGTGCGGAATAGCGGCGCCAAATACAGACGATATTTCTTGCGAAAGGAGCAAGTATAGAACTAACTCTAGCGCGAATAGCAACAAAATTGCTTCGAAGCTGTTCCCCCGCCAATCGCACAAGTATCTCGTCGTCTGGACGACGTGCTGCGACTTCGCGTGTGATGGTCTGCGACGCGGAGCTAGACTGTGCGAGAATGTACGACGCTACAGAAAGGGTGATTGAAGTGCTTTTTCGGCTGAAGCAGCATCCGACACCTCAGCAAAGAAACGTTATGACATCGCTGATTAGTGTAAGCGTAGTCGTACTCTCTTTTGCAGGGTCGTTCTCAAGGGCTATTTAGTCAAAAGGGTTTGATCAATTCGTGTAAGGGATCGCAGCACGACGGGGCCTTCGAGTGTGATAGGTCGGGCCTAGCTATACAAAAATATCCCAAACTGACTGGTCGCTCACGAATAAGCGGACGCCAAGCGTGCACACGTCATTCACCTGCCATGCTTCTCCAAAAACTGACGCAATTGTAAACGCACACAAACAACCCTCACGAGCATGATCTCACCTTTCACAAACAGGAATGGTAAAAATATTCCACAATGTGATACATGTTGGGGGAAATAATTAGTGGGGCCAGTCTTTTGGGGGAAGTAGAAAGTGGGGGCAGTCATACGGAAAGTGCACCTCGTCTCCACAGACATAGCAATGGTGTCTACCGTCGCCACCGCAATCGTTGTTCTTGCTTCACTTCGCGTGGTCGGCGTCGCTCGTTGACTTGTTGCTCGTCGACTTTCCGCCCCAGCCACCGCCTCTTCCCGACTTCCCACACTGCACTTGAAAACGCCGCCCCTACTACATTGGGGGGGCGTAGTTGGCCTGCGGAAGGAGTTGCTCCTTGGGCACTCTGACAAGTGCATGAATCGTCTTCAATTATGAAGCTCACCAAGAGTCATCGTTGAGTTGCTCACACACGGCATCAAGTTGTAGCCCAGAGGAAGTCTTTTGAGGATGTGCGAGATGTATGACAATAGCAAGTACTCGACCCCGGCCATTCGCAAGTCGGCTAGAGTGCGCCGAGCCCGGCCATAGTACTCAGTCGCCGACTCATGCTCGCCCATGCTAATGTTGGTCAGCCACTGCTCCATGATTTAGAGGTTGCTTGTCACCTTGTACGCTCTCATAAGTGAATTGCCAGGCTTGGAAGCCAACGACCATACGTAACCGACAGGGTTTTAGTGCCACTTGCACCATCGGCAACAAGCACCTCGAGATGAATATGAAAGCTGGCAGGTGAGCAGCGTGAAATTACCCCCTGAGCTCGGCGTAGCCCTCGTCCGACGTCTCCACAATCTCGTCGGTGAACTTCTTCGGTCGCGCAATCTCCATCTCTGGCTCAATCCCAGCTGTTCGCATCTGTCATATCATGACGGCCTTCGAGTAGCTTGGGCACGGCGATCTTTCCCAGCGAATACTTTAAGTAGCCGTACGACGGGGCGATACCACCGTCTTGGCGAGCCTACATGTATGACATCCAAGTCGGTCTGACTCCACTTCGCCGAGGAGAGCAAAATCAACAGACGACGTCACCTAGCGAGCTGCTCGAAGCCGCTGACTCCAGCACTTGCGCCTGAGTCCCATCGATGCCGATGGCGTCAGCTCTGTCAGCCCCTCGAAGCACTCCGCGCGCCCTCGTGCCTTCGTCGCCGACGAGGTTGCTACCGCCTTCGTCGTTTCCAGTTCAGGGAGAGGTGGACTCTCCGTCCGCTTCTACATGGGGAGGACGATGCTCGCACACCCACTCCGCACGAATTCTTTTGAGCAAGAGCTCTAAGTCTGCCCCACCGAACTCGCCACTTTGGTGGCGCTCCCGCACAGCAGCGTCTCACGCTTGCAGGGCATCACTTACTCCTGGAGTAACCTCTTAGTCGACCATGGCGATACGACAGTTGCCGGTCTAACAACGACTTAACTAATGCGCAATGTCAGTCTAATCTGAAGGTCTCTCGTGGGGCTGTCAATGCTCAATGCACCATGCAAGTAGTCACTCTACAACAGGAGATGAAAAGCATCAATGGCCACCAGTTGTATGTGTCAAACATTATATATGTTGTGTTAGTTTAGGCTACAGTGGGTTAGCCTATAGGGGGTACACAATTCTAGGGTTAGGTACTTGTACTCTTTTCATTGCTAGTTCATTCATTCCTGTTCAGTGATTCCAACATGGTATAGAGCAGGTCCTTCCTAGGACCGAAATTTTCTAAGGGCCCACCACTACGTACCTACCTACCCGTGCCCTAGGGCGCCTCGGCGTGTCACGCCCCTAGAGGCCCCTCTTGACGGCCCCGCGCTAGCCCCGTTTCAGGCCCCGTCGGCCCCACGCTAGCCCCTCTCAGGCCCCGTCGACCCGCGCTAGCCCCGTTTCAGGCCCCGTCGGCCCCTTTTCAGGCCCCGTCGGCCCCGCGCTAGCCCCTCTCAGGCCCCGTCGGCCCGCGCTAGCCCCGTTTCAGGCCCCGTCGGCCCCGTTTCAGGCCCCGTCGGCCCCGCGCTAGCCCCTCTCAGGCCCCGTCGGCCCGCGCTAGCCCCGTTTCAGGCCCCGTCGGCCCGCGCTAGCCCCGTTTCAGGCCCCGTAGGCCCCGCGCTAGCCCCTCTCAGGCCCCGTCGGCCCCGCGCTAGCCCCATTCAGGCCCCGATCGGGCCCGCGCTAGCCCCGTTTCAGGCCCCTTCGGCCCCGTTTCAGGCCCCGTCGGCCCCGCGCTAGCCCCGTTCAGGCCCCGTCGGCCCCTTGCTAGCCCCGTCAAGGCCCCGTTTGGCCCCGCGCTAGCCCCGCTCAGGCCCCGATCGGCCCCGCGCTCGCCCCTCTAGGGCCCCAACCGGCCCCGTGCCTACCTCGCCGACCCGTGCCCACCACCCAGAGGCCCCGGGCGGCCCGTTCCCGCCGCAGCACAAGAGGGAGAGCGGGCGGCCCGTCCCCGCCGTGACCTGAGCCGAGCCGCGACCCGACCTGAACCGAGCCGCGCCGCCCTGCCCTACCTGGTTCGTCCTACCTGCTTCTCCTACCGCTACTGCTGCTATTTCTACTGTTCCTATGGCTAGCCCACAGGTTCTCGTGTTCGATGCTGAGGGCCGCCCTGTGAAGTTTGACACCTGGCTCGATGACCTGCACCTCTACCTACAGCTCACAGCCAAGGATGCCATCTCACTGTACGATCACGCCCTCGGCCTTGTCACTGCCCCTGCTGCTACTGCTGACAGCACTGCTCGCTCACAGTGGCAGACTCGTGATGCCCACGCTCGCTTCGCCATTCGCAACTCCCTGCCGATAGACGAACGCGAGCACTTTGGTCAGCACAAGACTGCACCGGCACTGTACACAGCTGTAGTTGCTCGCTACTCCTCACCTGCCTCTGCCGCACTAGGCCGTCTCTCCCTCCCCTACCTGTTTCCCGACCTGGCCTCCTTTCACACAGTCGCTGACCTCATCACGCACCTCCGTACTAGTGAGGCCCGCTTCCGTGCCGCCATGCCTGCTGAGTTCCTTGCCACGCACCCCCCTCCACTCTGGCTCACTCTCTATCACCTAGTCACCCGCCTCCCTGACACACTGCGTGCTGTCAGGGACCACTTCCTAGCTCGTTGCCCCACTGAGCTCACCATTGCCCTCCTCGAGAAGGAGCTACTTGCAGCTGAGGCTAGCATAGTCGCTGTAGGTGCCTCTCGTGGCGACCCCCGTACCCCGTTCTTTGAGGGGTGTTCTCCTTCCCCCCTTCTTCCCTCTGTCGCCTCTGCTGCTGCTGTCGACCTTCTTGGTACTGAGAAGGTCGGCGCTGCGTCTGCCTCGAGCGGACGCCGCAGCGGCAAGGGCAAAGGGGGCAAGGGTAGTGGCGGTGACGGCGGGGGAGGCGGCGGTGGGGGCGGTGGAGACAGTGGGGGTGGTGGCTCGGCTGGAGGGGCGAGTGGTAGCGGTGGGGGTGGTGGCGGCAGCGGCGGGGGAGGTGGCAGGAGTGGAGGCGGCGGTTGGGGTGGCGGTGGACGAGGCGGCGGCAGGGGTTGGGGTGGTCGAGGAGGTGGCAGCGGTGGTGGTGGCCGTGGAGGCGCTGGCGGTGGCCAGGGCCAGCAGCACACTCTCTCGCCCCAGGAGGTCCGTGAGTGGTACTCTCAGCACGGGGGTGGGGGTGGTCTTAGCTGCACGTACGTCATTCGCACTGGTGACCGCACTGGTCAGCAGTGTGGACGACCGCACGCCACACAGCGCTGCTTCTCTCGTCTCGACGACGCTTGGCGTGTTCAGTTCCCTCAGGCCACTGAGCTGCCCCGCTGGCTTGATCTCCTGAAGAAGGGGATTGATATCTATGCTCTAGACTTTGATGCTATTCTATCTGCCATGTATGTGATGTCTACTAGTGGAGAGGGTGCTGAGTACTTGTGTGTGCCGCCCGACCCGGGCATTAGGGCCAGTGCGTCTGCCGCTCCAGGTACTCACGTGTCGGCTACCCCAGGTGCTGGTGAGGCTGCTGCTCTAGGTGCTCGTGTGTCTCCCCCCCTTGGTACTGCGTCGACTGCCGCACTGCACACCTTCACACTGGACTCAGGTGCTTCTCGCTGCTTCTTTCGTGACCGCACTGCCCTTGAGCCGCTTGCTCGGCCAGTTGCTGTCTCCCTTGCTGACCCCTCTGGGGGTCCGGTCATTGCGACCTCTTCCACTGTCCTTCCCTGCCCTGCGGTCCCGTCGGGCACACTGTCAGGTCTCCACCTCCCCTCGTTCTCTACGAACTTGGTGGCAGGCTGTGCACTCCAGGACGGGGGTGTTCACCAGTTCACCCCTGCCTACGAGCGCGTGACACACTG